ACACGATAAAGTGATTTTGCAGCATGACAATGCTCGATCCCATGTTGCGAAAGTGGTCAAGACATACTTGGAAACGTTGAAATGGGAAGTCCTACCCCACCCGCCGTATTCTCCAGACGTTGCTCCCTCTGACTATCATTTGTTTCGATCAATGGCACACGCTGCCTTTCGAGCAACGGCCTGGTTGACCAGCACTTCCGGTCTTATGAAGAAGTAAAAAATTGGATTGATTTGTGGATAGCCAAAAGATGACCAATTTTTTCGACGCGGGATTCGTACGCTACCCGAAAGATGGGAGAAAATAGTGGCCAGCGATGGACAATACTTTGAATCATAAATGTATAACCAGTTTTTTACAATAAAGCCTCGAATTTCGGAAAAAAACGGCGGAAGCAAAGTTGTATACCTAATATATAATTTTATAGATGTATAACTTTATAAATAATGTTTCAAATAAAATGTGTAAAATTTGACATACTGGCTGCAAAAAACAGGTAGTTAACCGAGAGAGCATTAAATTGCTTTTGTGGTTACCATGCTTGACAGAATCCTAATAAGGATCGGTAGTATAAATAAAGTCATTTGCGGTATCATGCTCATAAGTTTTTGTTGAATCAATTCTTCCGGTGATTAATGAGAAATGAATTTTTTACGGCGATGAATATAAGTGCACGCAACTTTTCTCATTCAATTTTTCTAACAAAAATATAATATCGCGCACATTTCTACATTATTATATGCAATCATATAATGAGACGCAATCTCTTTACAATGTTTTTGCAACTTTTCTAGATTATATGGATCGTAGCTTAGAGTGATCGTTAGTGGCAATCGCGTGACAATTCCGTCGGTTATAAGCTATAAGTTAAACTGCTACACTCCATCGTCCACTAAAGCTGATGCTCGGAAACAGGTTTCACATAAATTGCATTATTTTCCCGGTAAATTCACGATTACCACGGCAAGTGTCCTACTAAGGAGTCCTAATAAGGAGTCGAGGGTATAAATAAAGTCATTTGTGGCAGTTGCCGTCCTGCCCTTCGTTGGAACCCTTCGACGAATCGGGCCTTTCGTCGCGTATGAGAACGTAGAAATCGCAACCAAGGATCGCATCTCGAATGGGACTCTGGAGGATCGGTTTGTTTTGCGGATTAGGCTCATGTTTTAGTCGCAGCCCGCGACGAATTACGAAACGCGGACCGGCGCACGTCGCCGCTTTTTCTCTCAGCGAGAGTCGTCAGGCCGTCGACTTTCAATACCACGAGTGAGCCACGAAGAGCTACGTCCGAAATTGCTTCCATAAATATTCAGCGCACATAATCGAATTTGCGAAACAATAAACCCGCTGATTGGAAATTAATCAAGTCACACCGTTTACGAGTTTACGGTGAACTGTTTTCGCCGTCGACGAATGTATAGACTGAGATTAGGTTGAGACATCAAAACTTATATGTACAACGTTAAAAATTTATTATAAGAATAAATAATTAGTTTATATTATCTATGGGATTTACATAATGTTTTAATATATAAAAACGTTTTAGTAACTTATATCGATGAATGCCTATCGTATAATAAATGGTAGTTCTCTACGCACAATGGTTATAGATTAATTTGCTTTATAGCATTCGGCTAATTGTATTTTATCATTTAATTATATTTTATTAGTATTTTAGCATTGAACGCCTTTATTTCTCTTTATTTTCAATTGTTCTCTGTTTTTTATATTCTTTGTACTACCACCTTTCTCTTTTTCTTGCTTTCAATTTATAACAGTTAATTCCAATAAAATTCAGAGAATCTTTTCAGGATATTCTATATATTACAAAACGGAAGTTCACTTAAATATTGTAGATAGAAGTTGAAGAAAAAGTTGGTTAAAATAGATAATTCACGCAATAGATAAAATCTCAATAATGAACCTCGCGATTACAATATAATAATACATAAAACGCGGTTAATATATCTCATTTTAAAATATTGTTAATTAGATCAGCTTACGTACTTAAGTTGATTATAATTTCTTGAGTATGACAAACAGGTACGTTTAAGACATGCCGTTATATTATTGACTTTTATTAAAAGTACGTATACATGCGCTAAGTGTGTACAAAATTACAATAGCATTACGTAGAAGAGGTTCCGGTGGAAAGAGTATGTACAACAGGGTAATACATCTATATTTATATGTATATCTATGCATATATGTATAAGGAAAGATTCATTTTTTGGATGAAAGGAGGACAAAGTTAATAAAGAAACTTAAGATATATGAGCATCGTCATCTTAGTTTCTTAAACCGGCAGAATTTAATCCGTCTCGTATAATCTTTCGATTAAGCGTAGGCTTACAAGAGGATCTCGATATGTGATACATCTGTCCTTCGTTACCTCCGCTTACTACGCTATTTATTGAACTAAGAGTAAACATACATCGCGAATTTTAACGCATCTCGTTTGTTCTTCCTCGAGTTTGATATATAGCGACGTTGCTGCGGCTTCGTCCCGAATGTGAACTGGAAGACGTGTGCCTCTCGAATGTAAAATGTTAAAATGCAATTATCTTTTGCAGTTTTTCAAATATATTTGTAAACTAATTGTAAGTGCTAAATTTGCGTTAAAGTTACCGTTAGGAAAGTAACTGTTTGATATAAATATATTATAAAGATTACAAATGTGTAGTATAAAAATATTTTATAATATAAGACAATTTACATTCTAGCAAAATTTACATTCAAGCAAATATTAAAACGATATTTATTATCGATCTCGAGCGCAAGTTCGATCGCTCCGAAATAGCCTTGCAACGAAGCCGGGCAACATGACATGACTTGTCGGAAAATAGACTAAATAAACAAACAGTAACAACAAAAATATAAAAAAAATGTTCTCTTTTCGTGATCAATGTAAGCATCGAGCTATTCCGTCGTGCTGTCGGCACGACGAATTGGCGCCATCCATTATTTATGACACTGTTGCACCATGCTTGCACATGCACGGTAAGCTGTGCGATGATCGAAATATTAATTCTAAATTTGAATCTACATAAACTTGTAATATTTTTCTGATTCTATAGTAAAAAGATACTTTTTAATATTCTTAATATTCTGTTGACAATTCCATTTGAAATAATTAATCATTCAGATCATTGTATTAAAATTCGTTAATTAATAAAGTATCCTAATATTTCGATCAGCTGCAGCGACGAATTACTCAATCTCGTGAAAATAATAAGGAAAGCAACAAAGAAGCTTCTTCGAAGTCTTTCCTATTTCATTGGTTGCATTTTGGCACGGGGTTGATTGTGAGTCACGCGCGCTTATCTTTCGTCTTGAGGCGAAATTACGCGCAGAATTTTAATTTGAAAAGTATTCGCCCATCAAATATTAAATTTAGAAGAATTCTTCCTATGAGAATACATCAATTTTTATGAATATTAAGCCCTATAAAATCATTAATAAACATATAACAAATAAATTTACCATAACAGAAATAGAAAAGAAACAACATAACAATCATGATAAATAAATAAATCAATATCATAAAATGAAATATGTTGCTTCGCCTGTTTTGATAGCAGCAGATTTCAATTATTTCGACATACAATGATTCATAAATCTACGGAGAATACCGTCCAGCGGCTTCGTTCGCAATCAATCTTCCCATACGTCGTGACTCGTTCTCGTTTGAGCGTCTATAGCGAATCGAAATTAGATTCCCGATCGCTAGTCTGTGAAAAATATCAATTAATAAAACTGAAACGGTAATTTCAGTAGGATATTAAATATTAGTAATACAAAAACAAATTTTGGATATAAATTCGTAAGACACACTATCTTACCCTATCCGGACTGTATAATGGCGGATGTTGCGCCGGAAGTCTCAGTGTGCTTCCTAAATCGCGTTCAGCCATGGTGTGACCCTCGCTGGCGCTGTCTCTGATGTCTCTATTGTCTCTAGTGTCTTTGCTGTTTCTTCGGGCGGCGGCGACTTTTGTCGGCGGTTGGATCGTTGTTTCACCGCACGATCTCGCTAAAGTAGAACCAGCCTCGCCTAGATCCAATCTAAGAAGCTTCGTCGGAGCTTGGATAGTTGTCTCGCCGCATGAACGAGCTAGAGTCGAATCGAGATCAACCTGAAGATCTCCGCTCCTTAATACCTTCGTCGCTGGTTCCACAGTGGTTTCACCGCATGAACGTGCCAAAGTAGATTCAGCATCCACATTACGGGTCACCGTCGCTGATACCTGTCAATAATTAAAATCCTACTTTTTGTACTTTCTAAACTTAGGTTGAGACAAAAACAGAACCATACCTGAAAACCAGCACTCACAAGAGCACCCGTGGGTGTCATCGGATTTCTTGTACCTTGCAAATCAGCTTCCTTGCAGTCTTTCGCGCTAGATATACTTTGTTTCCTATTGGCGGGAGAGCTCGTACCATTGTCGAGATAGTTTATAAGTTTATGTTCCTCGGCAGCAAATGTACTCATGACGGTCTTATTGTAATTTTGTGGTGATTGCGGTGCCGATCGATATTTCGCGCGTGGAATCATAACTGTTAAGGAACGATCACGTTGATCGTCGTTGACTGGTATCGCTACAGAATAATTAAATTTATTAAATTAAATTGATTGAATTTATAAACATAGTGCGATTTTAGTGTATTATATTTGTAATCAACAAATATACAAATATTATATGTTACACGTTATACAAATTTTATAAAAATCCTGAATATGAAAGAGATTGTTTGAAATATAATAAATAAGAAGTGGCAAGTAAAACGTACCGGTTGCAGGCACCATAGTAGTTTTTCTGGGAGGATGACGAGGTTTCGCGCTGATCTTACGAACTGGTCGTTTGTTCGGCGGCAAGGGAGCTATCATTTGCGGCGGCGGTGGCAAAACATGCGGTACGTGATGTGGTATCGCTAAGTCAGTGACGCTACCCTCGCTGCTGGTATCACCACCTGTTCCAGGGATCATGGCTCGTCTGTCGCCGGTCTTCCGATTACGTCCTGGGCGACGGAAGCATGTCATTCCCAAACAGATTGCTAAGAGACCCAGCAAGATCGCGCCGGTCGTCACTAGAGCTATCAATAAAACTGCAAATATATGGAAATATAATTGTTAAGAGTTCCATTTTATATGATATTGGTTCTCTTTAATTGCAAAATCATTATACTTTATAAGAAATGCTTTTTCACCTTTGAGATTAACTTGACATCGTTGACCGCTGTGCCAAGGGAAGCATTCGCATATTTCTTGACCGAGAGAATTAGTAACGCAATGACCTTTGTTATTGCAGCCCGCGCATCCCAGTGGCGCTTGCGAACATACCCTTCCGGGATATGCTGGGTTTTCTGATAAATCAGCCCAGCCTTCTCTACAAGAACATTGATAGGATCCTCGTAAATTGAAACATGCTGCGTGAGATGAACAATCATGATGCGGACCACCTTCCTTGGAAGTACATTCATCAAAATCAGTCGCCTCGATCTGAATTAGAAGAATGAAATATCAATAATCCATAATTATAACAATTGCCTTTTTGTAGTTATTAATTTATATTGCCACGATTCAATTTACCGAATCAAGATTCTTTGAAGCATAGACCTCAGTACCACCTAAACTGTAATTGCTTCCAACTAAATATTTCCGAAGGACTTCTTTTAATCTGGTTTCATTAGAGTTATCGCTTAATTGCACATGAAACTCGACTTTTGTAGGATCCGGAATGAATCCAGCAATTTTGAGACCTCTGTATACATCTCTCAAATCACTCTGCATTAAAGTTCTATCTAAAGCTTCCTTTGTCGGAACTATCAAACGTTTATAAGTTGCCGATGTAGAATCGTTTAATGCAGTATCATACGCCACGAATTCATGGCCGATACGATCCAGACCAACACGCAGCGTGTATGTGTAGGTCGCTAAAAATTATTATGCGTTAATTTAAACGTATTAAATCGAGCAATAAGTATATTCGCAAGCAAACTATATCAATAAAAAATGCATACGGATTTACTATGAAACTTACGTTTGCAAGGGCGATCCGGAAACATTCTCGCAAATCCTGGTCGACAGACGCATCTCATCTCGGTTCCTACTTCGGCACATATTTCAGATTTGGATGATTTACACTCCGGTATGCATTGATTCACAATTGGTGTAAGAGGTATTATCGGCGCACCAAGTATTCCACCTGTCAATACTCTATGAATTTCATTACCCATTCCATCTTGCTCATCACGAGAAATTTCCTCCCCGTATTCAGCCTCCACCTAAAAGTCAAGCAAATTATTATGCCCGTCTAAGTAAAAATTATTTCTTAGTTATTTATATTTTAAAATTATTTGATAAGAAAATATCGACTTTAGAAAAATAAAAAAAAACAAATTTCTTAAATAAAACACGCTGATGAGAAGCTTCTGTTTATTGTGACGAATAGTATTTATTTCATAAATCAGTACCTCTTCTCCTCCAGGCACAGGTGGTTTCTGATCGCTCATTACAACAAATATAGAATCATTATCTGCTATGTTGTCGTATGTCGAAGGTATCCTGGTAACAATCGGTTGTAAGATTGTTGAAGTTACTGTAGACACTACGCTTGTTGGACGCAGCAGTGTTTCCGTCACAGTCTCGACAGTCGTCGTGGTCATTGTGTGCGTAAGTAAAAGCGTCCTCGTCGTTGGCGGCGAACCCAACACCGATGTTTTAGTTCTCGTTACCGTTGAAGTTTTGAATCTTGTCACCTAATTTACGATCATTAATATGCAATTAGTACGGTTATATATCATTAATCAATAATAATATGATTATTTAAGAAAGAAACAAATATTTAAATTTATGTCAAGATGTTCGTACCTCTTTTGGTTTCGTGTGAATAGTAGCATTGAATTGATTTTTGGCAATGGTACTGGTCGCCTTTACAATATTTTTCGTAAACTGCGTATCCGAGTTGCTTATCTCGGGACGCGTCTTATTGCCCGGTGTTGGTATCAATGTATTGATTACTTTACTGATCGAACTGTCGACTCTAGTCACAATTATGGATGACTCTTTATTCGCCGTTTTATTCACGATGCTGTATTCGATTATTTGTGGTTTTTGTGTCTTGATATTCGATACTATCGAATGCTGTTTCTTTTCCGTTTCTATAATGAATGTTAAAGACTCGGTAGGTTCCAATCTTGTTGACGGTAGGATGCTTTCGCGGCTAGATTCTAAGAATACCGGATGCTCGGGTCGCTTAACAGGATTTGATGGAATGTCTAAAACGTACGACCTCGTCGGATTGACATCATGGTGAATTGTCGATTTACTCGACTGAATGTGATCTATTTGAGGTGGTCGCAGTTTTGTCGGTATTACTATATTTGTCGTCAACGTCGATGTCGATTGAATGGCAATTCTAAAATGCAACAATTTAATTATTATAATTTGTTTTAACAGAGATTTTATTAAATAATTTACGTAATTTACGTACCTAGACACATGTCTTGTATCAAACGGTCGCACGGTGTAAATGCTGACATGTTCGCTCATTCGCGTTTTTACAGGTTTAAGGATGTCGGTAACGTCAACTACGACTGGTAGATCAACAGTACCATGAATAATTGGGATTTTCGATTCAATATCCTGGATTACTGGAATGTGAGACGTCGCAACGGCAGTAGCTATCTGTATGGAACCGGAAACTGCGACAGCTGGCCTTATAGTAGCGATCTCGAGCGGTCTCGTAGTTGTTAATATTGGCGGTGGCACCATGTCCTAAAGTATAACAAATATATCGCTAGATTATGCGACTGTTTTGTAAAAATTTTTCTCAAAGTTTTTTATACAAATTTTGGGAAGATTTTTTAGAAATATTGAGAAAGTCTATATCTTTTTTTAGAATTTTTTATATACATTCTGAAATATTCTAAAATTTCTCATTCTGTAATTTTTAAAAAAATATTTTAAACATTAAATTTATTGAAATTTAAATCTAATGAAAAATTTAAAAAATTAGAATTATTTCAGAATCCACATGAAGAATTCTAGAAAAGATGTAGACACTTCTTTATATGATGACTTTCTTTATATAAAAAATTTTAAGAAATTTTCTAAAAAGTTATAAAATTAATCTGAGAAATTAAATGATAAAAGAAATTCTGAAATTTATATATTATAAATTTTGAAAAATTATATAAAAAATTCTGAGAAAAATTTTCACCAACGTACGAATTGCAAATCAAATATTTCGAAGTAATTCAAAATATTTTTTTAAAAAGTAATTACCTGTGACAATAATTCTACGAGGAAAGGTCTTGTAAGTGACGGTCTTGGGCTGGGTGGGACCATATTTGTGTTAGGCGGTGCAATCGTTGTTGATTCTTTTAAAGGTACATATTTTGGCGGCTTCAAACCTGATTCGTCGGTCGTCATTAAGGCGAATCTATCATCTACGGGTATATGAGTGGTAGTGATGTCCACTGGTGGTGGTGACAATCCGAGCACGTCGCTTGATGGCGGTGGCGGTTTAAGTCCTTCTTGCTCTTTTTTCTTTGATTGATTTAATCCGATCCCCCCGTTTAGAGGTGGTGGCATCATATTTCTAGAGGGAACGTCCTTGATTTTGTCCTTCTCGCTTTGAGAATCCGAGGAAGCAAAGTTCGTCTGATAGGCTGTTTCCAAAGTTTCATCGTTCTTTTTATTTTGTGATAAATTATGTTTCGTGACTAACATGCTGGGCGGTCGCTCGGTTTGCGTCTTACTGTCTACCTCTTCGCCCATAGCCTCGACCGACATGGAGAACTTAACATTCGGACGACCATGCGTTTCTAGTTCCGCAGTATCGCTCGAAATAATTACCGGCTCCGGCACTTGGGGTTTCGGTTTTGTCAGAATATGAGGATATTCCGGATGCACTCTCGTGAACGTTCCATGTTCTGGTCGAACGATATTCGGACGTTTATTGCCGATTATAATCGGACGAGATGTAGTGCTATTTTTATTTTCAATTGTTTTCTGTTGAGGATTCACAATATCGGGGATTGGTACATCCGCATCCCAATTCTGAAGATTATGATTTATTTTTATTCTATGATTCAATGTTTGATTGACAAAAATTTCCGCATTATTCGGTTTGACGTTCTCTGGACGTCTTATAGAGTAATCGGGTCTAACTTCTAATTTAATTGGTGGTTTCGTTAATATCTCTGGTTTATTCCGAGTTAGACTGGGTCTAGAATCAGGCCTAATTGGTCTAGAGAACGGCCTTCCAGGTCTATCTACCTCAACGCCGAATTGAGATATAATCGCTGGTGGCTTCAAATCAATGATATCATCGCGTTCGAGTGAGTTCAGCGTCGTAACTTGTCCGCTTTGCGTCTTAGTCGTAACTGGTCTTGCATTTTCATTATAAGGAGCGGGTATACCGTGAACTATTTCGTAATCGGGTTTATAGCCTTCTTTGTATCCGTAAGAAGTAGTCGGATCGACATGACCATTATAAACACCGAAAGGTTTGCCTTGTACTACGGGCAATTCGTAAGGCCTTGTATTGTAGAAATCGGTACCATGAGGTCCTTGCAAAAGTGGCCTCCCATCCGTTTCGTGTTCGTAAATTATATCCTGTTCTTGCTCGACTTCTAGCGGTTTGCCTACAACCGTATTGATGGAAATAACTGGTCCATATAAAGTTTGCGATGTCAGAGTTTGATTGATGCTTTGAGAATTCGTTGTGTCTTTTTTATTCTGACCGTCAGTTTCTTGGCTTCTATTTATTTTTCCATAATACTGATTCTGATAATTAATATATTCCGAGGCACCAATATCAGAATCCAATTGTATTTGCTCTGTATTAGTCTGCCATTTTTCAAGATGATCTGGCAATACATGCTGCGTAGCGGATAGTTGAGAATGCTTGTTTTCTTCCGATATCGGATTTGGATGTAAAGGATTGTGATATTCTATTGCACCAGTGGGTATGTTATCGTTCTGCTTATTATCAGTTGGCAAATTCGGCGGCGCAACATTACCTATGTTTATCTTATCCGGATAAATATGAGGTCTATTTTGATTGTCAATTTGAAGAGTGAATATATTAGGAGTTATTCGAGTTGGTTCTTGATGAGGCTGAGGATTCATTGATGGACGATGCGATAATATAAAGGTGTTGTGCGTCTTTATTGAAGGTCTCTGTGGTCCCGAATACGTTGGTTTCCTAATCGGTGGATATCCAGTAGGTCGTTCCACGAAAACGTGTCTATCTAAAGGCCGATTGGTCGTTGGTCTTGGTCGTGGTCTCGGTCGATTATTTAAAGCGAATCTAATCGGTTTCTTGTCAGATTTCCAATTGGTACCTAAGGTTATTTCGTTTCCAGAATCTGGTTTTCCTAAGAATATATATCGATGTGGAACTTCAGTCGGCGTGACTTCCACACGCCTCGGCGGAGCTTGTTCCATCGGAGTTTGACCATTCGAAAAATGACCACGCATTGGTGGTTGGTGAACTGAATGTACGTGAGAATGGACAGACGAATGACTAGCAGGTTGCGGTCGAACGTTTATTGTCTCGGGTTTGTGATGTACAAGAATTTCTGTATGAACGTGGCCTTGACCAGAACCTCCAGATCCATCAGGTCGTTTAATCAGATGAATCTCCGATGGTCTTTTATCGGGTCTTAGTACAGACACCTCTGGAGTTTCTAGTGGTCTCTCGCGTACAGGTGGCAACAAAATATGTGGACGACTGGAAAAACCTGGTTTTGATGAAGAAATCTTAAAGTTGGTAGGTGGTGATGGTGGAACCATGTAATGAGTTGGATTTTTCTCGCTCGAATATTGAGGTAATTCTTCAATCTAAACATGTATATTAATATAAGAAATGTTGCTTTATGCGATGGCACTAATAAAATTGATACACATACCTTTTGAATACCAATGAAACTTGGTCCAACTTCAGGTTCTGGGTAAGGAGATGGATCGTCAAAATATTGGCCACTTATATGAGGTTCATTAGTATCTCCAAAAATCAGAGCTTGCGTGCCACCTTGAGGAATTACGACATTAGCTACTTGACTGGGTTGGATATTGACTAATAAAGGTTGCCCCGTTGATCTATCAATAACGTGTGGGATCTGATGAACTATTGGTTTGGTAGAAATCGGTTTTGATTCTGAACTCTGTATAATAATAGAACTATCCGGTAATAGAGGATCTTTTTGTGCCCATGGTGGTTGTTTCTGTTCTTCCGAAGATAACATAATTGAAGTCGGATGTGGTTTTTCGATCGGTTTGTCCGGATGAATCTTGAAATGAATTATTATATGTTACGCATACACACATACACACACACACACACACACACACACACACACACACACAGAGCATACATAAATATATATAATGCAAATGTATATATTACAAATAAAACGTACTTCATCATGTCTTGCCGGTGGTGTTAAGGGATCTTTAGCGCTCCATGGTCTTCTATATTTCTCCGGATTCCACTCTGGAATTTTAGGGTTCACATTAGGATTCGCATATTGTTCTACGTTTGGTCTGTTAGGTGGTTTAAGTAAGGGATCATTCTCCAGGATATCCTGTTTTGCTGCGATTCTCTTAGGTGGTGATTGAATGGAAAGCAACTTTTGAGGCTGTTTAGGAGCCGTTGGATGATTTGCATCGAGAGGAATGGAAATCGGTACTTTCAGATGTTCCTCGTAAACCTGATGTGCTGGTAAAATTTGTATTTGTGGATCTTGTGCAGTTTGTTGAGTTTGTACATCGTCGTTGTTCTCTAGCACCTCTAATACAGGATGCACTGGAATATTCGGTACCGGTAATGGTGGCGGTTTCATGCCAATATGCTCTTCATCCTTCAGAAGCGTCTGCGGCGGTCTCGGCGCCATTTTGCCCGGTTTTCCTATGATAACATCGCTATTTGCGGTAATTATTTCACCCGGAGATATTGGTATACCGTCGACAAGACTGCTGGTAACCTTGTGGCGTGTCTCGGCAATGTAATTATGATTGAGATTCGCCAAATGAGCAGCTAGAAAAGACAATCATTTCATATTTGAAACGTGCTAAATAAAACATAATAAATAGTTATTGTTAGTTTTTGATAAAAAAAGAATATTATTACCAATATGTTGGCTTTCAGCGGTTTCTATATCACCGTCAGCAAATTCTGCGACAGGTATGTAGATAGGCGATCGTTGTGTTGTGATTTCTTGAATCTCTGCAAGAGATACGCTATCGTTTCTACGAGTAGCCGCAGTTTTTCCTTGCAATAATCCGGCCATTGCTGTGATTACCGGTCCCAGAGCGGATAAACTATTTATTCCTAAAGAACCCAGACTAAGAAGAGGTTTGCTAACTGAATCATCGTCTCCAGATTGAGAATTTGGCCTTTTATTTTGTAGTACATCGCTTAATATTGTAGTACCATTATTATCCTATATAAAAGTTGCAAATCTCATTTATATATAAAATATTCGCATAATTTGATATGTTCCAGAATGATAAATATTATTGTGGAAAACATTTTTTCTCATAATTTAGAAAAAGTTTATAAATGAAAGTTGATACCTGTTTATCAATTGAATCTACTGGCTTTATATCAGAGTTAGTATCCTCCGACATTTCCATTGACATTGTAGTTGTTGAGTTGTTCGTGGGACTTTTCTCGTGTTTTTTTATTTCTGTAATAGAGGTTGATTGTAGGAGATCTGAGGTCGCAGTTGGCTCGATCTGATCTTCATCATCGAAGAAGATAATGGTCGAACCCGTGACGACGTTTTTCACTGGATCGGAATGATGCGCAGTCGTTAATAAGGCGTTCATATAACCGGCGTCTAATAAACTCGGAGCTATTGATTCTGTTACGACGTTTTCAACGATATGTGAACGAGATGTTACAGTTGTTGATGTTTCACCATCTGGACCAGCCTATTTATGATAGAAGAAAGATTTTAAATGTTACAATTCATCATATCTCAAATTAAATTCAGCTTGAATTATTTTTAATCATTTTTACAGGTCACCATTGTTCCTACTCAATATCGTCATTAATTTAAAACAATACAGTTAAACAATTTAACTCAATAAAATATATTAAATTTGATTCAAATTTAGTTTATTATTTACTAAATTTATATGTTAATGTGAACGTATTTACTTGAAACTAACTACAAAAAGAAATTGATTACATTTTGGCATTCATGGAATTAAAAATATTATTTACATTATAAAATTTTATTATTTAATTCAAGAGAGGTTGCCATTGCTCATTTCTTCTATTTAATAGTATACATAAGACATAAATACAATGTACCATGTATATTTACCTGTAATAACGTTGTGAAATAAGTAAATGTGGTAAGGTATGTTTTAGTGGCGAAGATCTGTATAGGTTCCGGCGTAGGACTAACCGGAGCGGTTTTCATAGTTGTTTTTCGCACTGGCACTTTTTCCAATACCACATCAGTCGATGTGGCTACGTTTGTGCGAACTACCGTGCTACCTTTCTCCAAAAATGTGTTGAAATACGTGTATGTGATGTAATATGTTTTAGTCATATCCGTCATGCTACTGTCAGTGTTATCTAAAGCAGTCAGAGTAGTTGTGACACTGGTTGGTCGCGGCGGAGGTGCTGATTCTGTTACTATTAGCTAAAAACAAAAATCGAGAAAAATATATAATGTCATAATAAATATCAATATAGAAATTTGCGGTAAGAAAATAAGTTAACCTGAGTAATCGTGTCGCTGATCGTCTCTATTTTCGTTCGACCTTCTTCCATAAATGTTTTTTCCAACACTGTGGTACTGAGGTATGTATTGGTTTCTGGTCGCGGAGCTTCTGATGGCTCGAGAATCATGTCTAGGTAATGTTGCGGCGCGGTAACCGTGTTCGTTATGACTCTCGTGCTACTTTCTAAGGCATCATTCACATCCGGATGATCTGTGTTTAAAGTCAAATATGTGTATGTCGTTTTAAATACTTCGGTGCGTAAGGTCGGGGATGCATCTAGAGTCACGGCTGCTGTTTCGGAGCCAGGTTTTCTGTGCCGTTCCTCTGTTGCTGTATTCGCTACCACCTAAAAGAAATAAAATTATTATATCAATGAGAATTTTTGTAAATCATTTCAAAAATTGATTATCGATTATGTGAAATCTGTTGTTTGATGATATGAAAAAAAATGTGTGAAAAAGAGATTAAAACTCAGAGAGATTTTATTTAATATCAAAGAAAGATTTAATTAATCGTAATTAAACTTTTTTGTAATAATTTTCCTTCAGAGAGAGAGAGAGAGAGAGAGAGAGAGAGAGAGAGAGAGAGAGAGAGAGAGAGAGAGAGAGACTTAATGATTATCAGATATTTTAATAAAAATTACATTAAAATTATAGACTATTAATACTATTTTATAATCGACAAAAAGTAAATTCAACATGTTGCAACTCTATTTATTTTCTTCACAGTAATACCTTTGTAAAATAATTTATTACACAGTATTTCTTACAGTTGTAAATGAAATATTCCATATGATTTAAAGTTGTTTATAAATTGTAAAAGGGAACAGAGAAAGTTTTTATTCGAAGAAATATACTTATATTTATTATATTGTATATAAGTATATAAATATA